TTATTCTTGAGCTGTACATTTTATTTATCGGTAAAGTTTCTTCAAATATAGCGCATGGGAGATTTCTTGCGATTACATTGATTACGAATTTGAGGTCGAAAAGGCAAATTAAAATTCGAAATGGCAGGTTCAATATAGCAATCACATGTTTTATAAATTAGCAACATCGCTTTCAGCGATTTTCTTTAATTTTCTTTAATTTAACTTTCTCCGAAAATAACAACACTCTCGATATAGAGAGAAAATATTTGTGTTTCTGATAAGAAACTTGTAGTGGGCTTATTTTATAATAATAATTAATATTTCAATAGTTTGTTGCAAAAAAATTTAGCTTACGGAGAATTTAGAAAAGTATGTATAAAATACTGTTATAATAAAATTTGCCCTGAATAAACTATTGGTGTTTCGATGTGTCGATTCCTAATAGGTAATTTTGAAATAATTCTTGTCTGAGAAAGTGTCTCATTTCTTTTTTTGTACTTTTATTTGATTATAATTTAACAAGTAAACATTCAAATTGTCCTTTAACCGGCAGCTCCTTTCGAAATTGGTCAAGAGGCAATCGTAAACGTAGTCGCCAAACAGTGCGATACGGGCATAACTCACCGTACAATCGGCATCATGGTTGTCGCATTGTTTTGCGTGAGAAGAGACGGAAAATCTATATTCTGTAAAATTTAACAATTTCCTCCGCTGTTCTATACGCGCATTCGTCTGTAATATGTAACATTTCCCGCGTGAGATGTAATATTTAACATCCTTCAATATGCAATATCCATCTACCTCGCGCGCGCGTGCTTTTATTAGTGACTATTAACATTCATGCGAATTCATACGAATATAAATACGCTGAATAATACAACGATCGCAGGGGTCATTATTGTAAATAAGCGAGAATTTTCCGTCGCGTAGTTACGTCGTATCAACCGCCGAAAATATTTTTCTTCAGATTTTTACGTGGAGTTTAATTAGCAACAAATATATATATGCTGCTGATCCAACTCTCTACGTTATAACTTTCTACGCAGAGAGAATGTTATAGCTTTTTTCTTTTTTTTATATAAATCCTTCTCAATATTATTATGTTTTTATGGCGCAAAAATAGACTGTCATAGTCTATCCTGCTAAAGAACATGGCATATTTCAAAACTGTATCAATAGATGGATAAGTGTCGGACCGATATTTTGTCAGATTAATTAAATAGATGCCAACGGAAGCTGCGATTTGGTTCTTACTGTCCATTTATTTTGATACAATATTAATTTTAATTAAAAAATTTCTTCTATAAATATTTGCGATTAATAGTAAATTCCACTGGAAACATAGCAAATTTTTTAATCGCACATTTCTCAGTTACTGAAATATTAATAGCATATATGAAATAAAAGGATAGTGAATTCGGCTCTTATTGTCTATTTACTAATAACAATTTTTATTCTAATTAAAGAACCTGTTTTCTGCAAATGCTCGTAAATCTCGCTGGAGAGACAGCAGATTTTTTAATTGCATATTTCAGTTACCGTAAATAGTTCATATTGAACTAGTTACGTGTAAATAGTTCATATT